TAAATTTTGTGTTAGTTGTTTACATAAAAGTTTTATTAAAGATGAGTAGCATATCCTTCTTTATATTTCACATAACTTTTTCAAAAAGATTTTTATTCATTTTGTGACCACTATGAACACACAGTTTGAAGTTTTATATATAGTTTTAACCTTATTTAAACAAATCCATTTTCTATTTCAAGTAGTTTAATACTGAATAGAGTTTCAGCATGGTGCATGTATGTATATATGTATGTATATCTATATGTATGTTATATGATTGCTCCTGGGAGTTTAATTTTGATGTATAATATATTGAATGGTTACTCTTGCCTTTTTAGTTAAATCGGTTTAAAAAGTATTTTATTCTAGGTGCTGGGGATATGGCAATAAATAAAATCGAGTCCTTAGGAGGCTGAGGTGGGAAGATTACTTGAGCCCAGGAGTTCAAGGCTTCAGTGAGCTATGATCACATCACTTCACTCCTGCACATCTGCACTGGATGACAGAGTGAAACCTTGTCTCAAACAAAAAACAAAACCCCAAAAACTGAGTCCTTGAATTTGAAAAGCCTGCTTTATAAAGTGAAATTTTGTTCATTTTTAAAAATTTTTGGCCGGGCTCGGTGGCTTATACCTGTAATTCCAGCACTTTGGGAGGCCAGGCGGGCGGATTGCCTGAGGTCAGGAGTTTGAGACCAGCCTGGCTAACATAATGAAACCCAGTCGTTACTAAAAGTACAAAAATCAGCCGGGCATGGTGGTACGTGCCTGTAGTCCCAGCTACTTGGGAGGCTAAAGCAGGAGAACTGGTTGAACCGGGGAGGTGGAGGTTGCAGTGAGCCAAGATCGCGCCACTGCACTCCAGCCTGGGTGACACAGTGAGACTCTGTCTCCAAAAGAAAAAAAAGAATATATATATATATATAGATATAGTACTTTTTAAAAACTTTGCTCATACACATATATATGCCATACATCAAATAGTTTTTATTATAATATGGAACAAATATATATATTTTAGGGGACTATTTGAAACTATAGCTTCAGTTTTCAAATGCCAAAATAGTTAGATCAAATATTGATTTCATTATAGTTGCTATGTTCTGTAAAGTTACCGTTTTATTTGCTACAATTTAACTGCTTATTTTATATAGAATATACTAGTTTTGGGGGTATAGTATTGACTTGCAGGCTGAAAATATTTTTCATTTGTTCATTCAGTATTTTTTGTGGACCTCCTATACTCCTAGGTTCTGTCTTAAACCAACCTGGCACAGGAATTTGAACCCAGATCTGGAGCTCAATTATTCCTCTTCTTCATTCTATATATTTGGAGTTGGGAACTAGAACTGCAGAGATCAGTAGATTGGTCAAGAGAGTGAACGTTTTATTTGGGTTTAGTAATTTTGTTAGTCTGTTTTCATACTGCTATAAGGAACTGCCCAAAACTGGATAATTTATAAAGGAGGTTTAATTGACTCACAGTTCAGCATGGCTGGAGAGGCCTCCGGAAACTTACATTCATGGTGGAAGGCAAAGAGGAAGCAATGCACCTTCTTCACAAAGCGGCAGGAAGGAGAGAGGTGCCGAGCGAAGTGGGAAGAGCCCCTTATAAAACTATCAGATCTCATGAGAACTCTCTTACTATCACGAGAACAGCATGGGGGAAACTGCCTCCATGATTCAATTTCCTCCACCTGGTCTCTCCCTTGCCATGTGGGGATTATGAGGATTACAATTCAAGATGAGATTTGGGTGGGGACACAAAGCCTAACCATATCAGTAACTAAAAAGAGGTCACTTAATGACCTTGGAAAATAATTTCTTTAAAATATGTTTGGGGGAAGAAAAGTTTATTACAGGGGCTAAGGAAATGGAATAATAAGGAAATTGAAATGTTAAGTATAGGCAATTCTTCTTGATGTTTTATTCATAGTAGTGAGTGGAAAGAGGGAATTCACTCAAGGGCTTGAAAGTGTATCAGAAACAGGGAGGTAACTTCAAAATAAAGGATATGTGAAAGTTGTAAGAGACAGCAAGGAATTGGGGATTGAGTGATCAAATACCTTGAGGAGAGAAGAGATAATTAAAACCAAAATGTCCCGTAGGAACCAAAGGAAGATGTTGTTAAGATATAAATAAAAGATTGGACTTCGAAAACTAGAGAGAAAACTTCTCATTCATTGTAAGAGAAAAACAAGAGAATGGTTGAAAATAAAAGTATTTTAAGATGGAGAAATGGGGTTTTATTTATATTTATATATTTTTGAGATGGAGTTTCACTCTTGTCCAGGCTGGAGTGCAGTGGCGCATTCTCGACTCACTGCAACCTCTGCCTCCTGGTTTCAAGTGATTCTCCTGCCTCAGCCTCCCAAGTACATGCGCCACCATGCCTGGCTAATTTTTTCTATTTAGTAGAAATGGGGTTTCAACATGTTGTTCAGACTGGTCTCGAACTCCTGACCTCAGGTGATCCACCTGCCTCAGCCTCACAAAGTGCTGGGATTACACGCGTGAGCCACTGCGCCCAGCCAGAGAAATGGGATTTTTAAGTTTACCCCCCAAAAGATAGCCTTTAATCTTCTCATAAAGTAGAAGATTGGGTCATTTTCTGAATGGAATAGAGAAAGAGGGAGATGGGAACTTAAATAGGGAAAAGCCTTCTACCATGGAAATATACTTGGAAATCAGTGAGTTGTAGCAGTGACTCCTCAGTTGAGGTTAGCATGGATTTTATAGACACTAGTAGCATCTTAATGTTCTAAAGCAGGAGTTGGCAAACAGTAGCCTGAGGGCCACATCCAGCTCATGTAGCTTATAAGCTAAGAATTTTTTTTTCATATTCTTAATTGATTGTAGAAAAATAAGCAAACAAAGAAACAAAAAAGGGCCAGGCGTGTTGGCTCATGCCTGTAATCCCAGCACTCTGGGAGGCCAAGGCGGGCGGATCACGAGGTCAGGAGATTGAGACCATCCTGGCTAACATGGTGAAACCCTGTCTCTTCTACAAAATACAAAAAATTAGCTGGGCGTGGTAGCAGGCGCCTGTAGTCCCAGCTACTCGGGAGGCTGAGGCAGGAGAATGGCGTGAACCTGGGAGGTGGAGCTTGAGTGAGCTGAGATCCTGCCACGGCACTCCAGCCTGGGTGACAGAGCAAGACTCTGTCTCAAAAAAAAAAAAAAAAAAAAAAAAAAAAAGAAAAGAAAAGAAAAGAAAAAAGAAACAAGAATGTACGACAGAGACCTTATGTGACCTTCAAAGCATGAGATATTTAGTATCTGACCCTTCCTGTAAAAAGATAGCTGACCCTTGTTCTATAGCTCAGGACCAGAGAAAGCAGATGATAGTGTGACTCAGAGATGGGGACTGACGTTCTGGACATGATCAAAGACCAAAGGGTGATAAAAGAAGGGATACTAGTTAGGGGTTTTTGGTGGAGGTGGACAGTTGGGTGCGGGTTGAGTAGGGAGTAAAGCAAAGCCAGAAGAAAGCTAATGGATTGGATGAAAATGGAATATGGGCTTGTGAATAGATATCATAACGAGAATATAAAGCCTGATCAGATGTCATAATGAGAATGTGAAGTGGGTATCAGCAAAGATAACAGGTAAGGAAGTTGAAATTGGAGAAAGGGGACATGGTTGGTTGTCTTAGAGATAGAAGAGTTTCAGAAATTGCCAACTCCAGCCATTTCAGGAAAGAGCTGAACTCTCCAGTGATAAGGTCAGGATGATGAAGCATCCAAGAGTATGATGGTCAAATTCCTTAAGATGATGACAGGGAGACTATGTATGAAGAAATAATGCGTGTTAGGTTACTGGACTTTTTCAGAAAAGTGGAAGTGAGCCTGGAGTATGAAGTAGATGATGGCAATGTGGTAAAAAAGAGGCTAGTGTAAGTAGGTGAACTACTTGTAAATGAGGGGGAAAGTGATGTTGGCAGTGAAGTGGTCCTCTTTTTGCCCTGGCAGCTCAGGATAGGCTGTTCCTTCCTCTTGGTTTGGTAAGTGATAGAAGATAGATAAAAAGGTCATAGAAAAGATGTAGTATTATCTATTGCGGGTCAGATTTACATGTACATCGTCTTTGAGTATGGGAGGAACAAAGCAGCGGATTGGTTTGGACTTGTAAAATGAAGCCCTCAAAATAACAGTAGTTGATTTTTGTATAGATGTATAAATGTTTCACTTACATTGTTCTTCCTGTAAATATCTTTTTTAAGCATTAGTGCTTTTTACTATGTAAAATTCATTTATTTGTAATAATGAAATTATCAAGGAATTAATACTAGACATATCTCTTTTTACTTAAATGTGAACATGGACAGAATTAACCTGGCAGGTAACCTTTATTTGAATATTAAAACTGAATTGGGCTACAGGGAAACTAGTAGCTACAAATCACTTGGGTCTGATTGTGGTCTTTCCATGACAACATTAATGTAGAGTCTCTATTTTAGTATATAAAACTTTATTAGTAGACATACATATAGGGACATAATGTATATTAACCTTAAATATATAATTTTTATTTACCAATTATACTTCATTAAATCTGAAAAAAGTCAAGAGCAAGGGAGCCCCTGCCCTCTGAAACATGAAGTGGGAGCCCTAGGCAATTGCTTTGCTTTGTTTTTCTATGTTGATGTGAGAGGTGATTCCTATATGTGACATAATTGGATAGTGTATTCTGAAGGAGAGACTCCTTTTTGTGCTTCCCATAAAAATATGGGAAGTTCCCAATAGGTAAGTTGCTAGAAATTTTTACCACGCTAAGTTGAAGTTACTGATTCCTCTAATAAAAGTCTCTTTATTTTTTCTGGAGAATTAAACTATTTTCTGATAATATGAAATCTTAGGATACCTAAAACTTCATTTCAGATAGTACTTTTAGTTTTAAGTGGTTTTCAGTGAGTGACCTTTGGAAATGGTTTTAAAGGTCAAGTAAAACTTATTTTGAGTCATAAGGAGAAAATACCTTGTGTCATTTACTTTAATATTTTTTATATTTTTTCCTCAGTTCCTATTGTAAAGAATATAGCAAAAACAGAGTCTTCTCCTTCCGAAGCGAGCCAGCATTCAATGCAGTCTCCACAGAAAACTACTCTAATATTACCAACACAGCAGGTCAGGAGATCAGGTCGAATTAAACCACCTGGACCTACTGCAGTCCCCAAAAGGAGCAGTTCTGTTAAAAATATTTCACCAAGGAAAAAAGGTCCAAACTCAGGAAAAAAGGTTAGTTGTATCTCCTCCTAATTTGTATTATAGGTTTTTGTAGTGCCTTATTATTTATAACATGCAATTTAGGAATTTACTAAGAGTATGATGAGGGTCTTTAGGAATGTACTAAGAGTATGTAGGCTTTTGAAAGCCTCACATAACTATCAATAGATTTCTTTGCTTGGGTAAACTTAAAACTTTTTATAGTGTTCTACTTCTTCAAAACCACAATGAAAGTACTATTAATACATGAGTGTATTTATGTTCAGACTAGTTAATTTGAAACTCAGTATACTTTAAAAATCATTATGAAGTGAATCTTACTGTACATATATTATACTTCAATAAACTGGGGCAGGGAGAGAAGAATCAATGTGATGAATTCAATAATGCTGGAGTCAACTCTAAAACCTAGAAATAATAGAAAAAGCAACAACCTGAAGACACTGAAGAGTGAATGGAAGCAGACAGATTCTGGTGGCAGGGGAAGTACTGACTGGGAGAAGGGGTGTTATACAAAGTGAGTTTCCATTGTTGTGGTTTTAAGCAAGTACACTTTGTGTAGCATGTGAGGCAACAGGAGTATTAGTAGAAAAATGACAATTTATCTGTCCTAGGGAAACCAGAAAACAGAAAAGTCAGGAAAACTGTGGCTGTTAAAGGAAATGGATTTTGGAAGGGAAAGGACCAGAGAGGGCATCTGCAAATTCTGTCTACCAACGTCTCTGACCGACCCCTGATCTGAGCATGTTTGTCTAATACACACAGGCCAGTGTAGCTAAAGCAAAAGATCTGAACTGAGGCTGGATGAAATTAGGCCCAAGATCAGAATTTAAAGTTCAAGTCTAGCCAAGGTAATTACTAGCTAAACAAAAGAAATAACAATCATCAGAGAAATACAGAATTTAGAATCTGCACAAATTTTTGTAACATCTGGAATGTAACTCAAAATTACCCAAATACATAGTAAAATGAATAATATTTTCAAGAGAAAAGAAAATCAACGGAGACAGACCCAAGTATAACCCAGATATTAGAACTAGCAAACAAAAGTTTTAAAGTGGCTATTCAACTGGTCCTCGATGAAATTACACACGCACGTGCGCGCACACATACACACACACATATACGCACACAATTGTACTGATTAAAAAGACCATCTTAGTGGAGAAGCAAAGGATAAAAAGGAGCCAAATTGAAACTCAGGAACTGAAAAATACAGTATCTGAAGTAAAAGATTCACTGGACAGAATTAACCAGAATTGACTAGAGATGACAGAAGAAAGAGTAAATGAACTGGAAGATAGAAGAATAGAAATTATCCAGGGTGAAAAACTCAGACTAAGATTGAGAAAGAAAATGAACAGAGACCCAGAGACCTTTTAGATAATATCAAAGGTCCAATACAATGTAATTGGAGTCCCAAAAGGAAAAGAAAGAGAAACTGGAGCAGAAAAAATATTTGAAGAAATAATGTCTCAAAATTTTCCAAATGTCATGAAAGATAGAAATATGTAGACACAAATTACTCAACCAAGAGCAAACAGAATAAGCACAAAGACATCTAAGCTGAGGCATATTAGAGATGAACTGTTGAAAACCAGAGACAGAGCAAATCTTAAAGGCAACAATGTAAAAATGAAAAAGTACATGCAGAGAAACAAAAATTTGATTAACAGCTGACATTTCTCATCAAAAGCCATGGAGGCCAGAAGAGAGTAGAACAGCTTTAAAGGACTGAAAAGAAAAAAAAAAAAACCCCAAAAAAAACCTGTCAACCAGAAATTCTATATGTATCAAAAATACTCTTCCAGAATGAAGGTGAACTTAGAATATATATAATTTTTGTTTGTCAATTATACCTTAATAAAGTAGAAAAGACTCCTAAGTAGAGTTCAATAGTTTTCTTCATATAATTTATACTCTCATTTATTCTTATTTATTTCTGCATATTTTATGATTGTTGTTGCTATTGTGAAGGAAATCTTTTCCTTATTACTCTTTTCTATGAAACAAAAGATATATTTCTTAAAAAAAAGAATGAAGGTGAAGACAGTTTCATTTTCAGATAAAAGCATACTAAGATAAATCACTGTCAAACCAGCACTGCAGGAAATGCTAAAAGGAAAATCATCAGGCTAAAGGAAAATGGGACCAGATGGAAACCTGGTTTCTCAAAGAGAAAGGAATTGCTTTGAAGATGGTAAATCTTTGGGTAAATGCAAATGACTTATAATAATATGACTATTTGTAACTAATTACAATACAGTATTGCAGAGTTTATATTAAACAGACATGAAACAATTGTAGTATAAAGGCCTGACGTGGGGGATATGGATCCTGTATCATTGCAAGATTTCACCATTTTATGTGAAGTGGTACAATATTAACTTTATATGGCTTGTGGAAAGTTAAGGATGTACATTCTAATCCCCAGGACGTATTGTTAAAAAAAAAAAATGCGAAGACGTATAGCTAAAAAGCCAATAGAAAATTAAAATGTAATTCTAAGGAATATTTGAATATTCAAATATATTCAATATAAAATATTCTAAGGAATATAAACTATTAACAAAAGGAAAAGAGGGGTTGGGTACAGTGGCTCATGCCTGTAATCCCAGCACTTTGGGTGGCCAAGGCAGAAAGAGTGCTTGAACCCAGGAGTTTGAGACCAGCCTGGGCAACATGGCAAAACCCCATCTCTACACAAAATACAAAAATTAGCTGGGTGCAGTGGCGCACGCATGTAGCCCCAGCTACATGGGAAACTGAGGCAGCAGAAGAATTGCAGAAAACTTGCTAGGAGGTGGAGGTTGCAGTGAGCTGAGATGGTGCTATTGCACTCCAGCTTGGGTGACAGGAGTGAAACCTTGTCTCAAAGGGAGAAAAAAAAGGAAAGGAAAAGGAGAAACAGAACCAAACACAGAGGAGACAAATCAAAAACAGGCAATAAAATAGTAGATCCAGCCAGGCATGGTGGCTCACACCTGTAATCCCAGCACTTTGGGAGGCTGAGGCTGGTGGATCACCTGAGGTCAGGAGTTCGAGACCAGCCTGGCCAACATGGCAAAACCCCATTTCTACTAAATATACAAAAATTAGGCATGCTCACAGGTGCCTGTAATCCCAGCTACTCAGGAAGCTGAGGCACGAGAATCGCTTGAACCCAGGAGGCGGAGGTTGCAGTGAGCTGAGATTTCGCCACTGCACTGTAGCCTGGGTGACAGAGTGAGACTCCATCTCAAAAAAAAAAAAAAAAAAAAGTAGACCCAGATCCAAACATACTAGTAATTGCATGAAAAGTTAGTGGATTATCCTTTTTGGTTAAAAAGACAGAGATTATCAACTTGGATTTTTTTTTTTTAAAGACCCAAATATATCCTGTCTACAAGAGATGCACTCTAAATATAAAGACATAGAATCTTTTCAGATCTCTTGGGGCTGACTGAATTAAATGCCAGCAGTATTATCTTACACATTCCTGAGTTCAGCCATCTGATATTAGTAGCTGTAACATTTCCATTTTGTTTCAACTTATGTTTGCTGTAGGGAAAAAAAAATAACATTTTAAAATATATTGATACTGATATTCTTTAAAAACACTCAAAATTTACAAAATAAAAATCAAAAGTCAAAGCTAAATATTTCAAAAATATAGTCGTGAACACTGAAAAAAATCAAGCAGATTGTTCTAATATAAATGGTAGCAGATAATTTTAAATGAAAAATAAAAGTTAATAGTGAAATTTAAAGTGAAATAATATTTTAAATGCATTAAAAAATTAACATATATGTGTATATTCCAGCTTCTGAAATGTCTTTGTGATTAGTTGGTATAATGGTGAAAATATAAGATAACACCAAATAGTTTCCTTTGATTCCTTTAGTTTCCAGTTCCAAGCTAATTTGATAATTTTGGAGAGCTCTGTTTGAAAACATTGTTTATTTGATGATGGGGATGGAGAAGGGACAGTTACTATACTCTTGTAAAAATTATTTAAAAAATTTTTTACTTTCTATTATGAATATGTAATACTTGTATATATTTATGGGGTCTATGTTATATTTGGATACAAGTTGTCATTTTCTTCCTCCCCTTAAGGGAGGAGTGCAGGAGCACATTTTCTAAATAAATGTACCTTTATTCAATTTGCAGTGTTAGTGCAAACATGCTATCTTGGTATGTCTCAAAACAAAGGATTCAGATTTCAGATTTTTAAAATAGTGAAAGAATGATATGGTCAACCCAGTAATTATAATTCAGTACTGAAAAATAACATGATTGTGTCCAGGCAGTGGTGCATGCCATGTAATCCCGGCACTTTGGGAGGCAGAGGTAGGAGGATCTGTTGAGCCCAGGAGCTCAAATCCAGCCAGGGCAACATAGTAAGACAAAAAAAAAAAAAAAAAAAAAAAAGTCACATTTTTTGTTTCTTTAACATTGATAAAAAAAATTGTATCAATGTTAAATAAACAATAATGTGATTTACTAGATTACTGTCAACCCAAACGACAGTCATTAATTTAAGCAAATAAATTCCAGCAACATTGAATGTTCTGTTTTTTACTCCTTTGCTCCTGCCTTTTAAATGTCCTCTGTTATTACCTTTTCTATGCACAGGTGTCCCTTCTCTTATATTGGAGAGTCATGTTTGAAGGTCACTCCTGGAAAACCCCAAGAGTTGATGTAAAATAAACAAAATACTAGTGAACTTTAACAATGCTCAGGAGACATTGGTTCTTATAGGCGATAGGCATAATTTTGTATAGACTTTAGCAAGCCATCTGTTGTGATTTTGTCAGAATTATTGTATGTAATATGGAGAAATGTGGGTTAGACACAGCGAAGACTAGATGAGCAACTTCTTTCTGAAAATAAACTCTGTCCTCTGCCTTGCTGAGATTTTTTTTCTATTGGATGTATTGCTCTGGGTTAGAGATTTACAGACTTTTCTTTAGCAATGTGAAAAAACTTGTCTTACAGGGAACCTCAAAAAATAAAGTAAGTTTTACAGAATAAACTAATTTGGCTAAGGTGTGATTAGTTGGAGCAGGGGTAGGACAGGGAATCCCAGCCATCTGGTCTCTTCCTCCCCTACCTGGACAGTTCATGGACCTCTGAGAAGCTCAGTTTGGAAAGTTCTGGAGTTCATGACACACACAGGAGTTTCCAACCTGAGGACTTCTGATAACTAATAATTTTGTAAACCAATGATATTTATAATTTTCTGACTTTCTTATCTAAGAATATATTAATGAGTATTTTATACTTGTATTTTTTTCCCTTTCTTTTTAACAGGAAAAACCTTTGCCTGTGATATGTTCTACATCTGCAGCTTCTCTAAAATCGCTGACCAGAGACCGAGGCATGTTATATAAAGATGCCGCTTCTGGGCCATGTAAAATAGTGATGTCTACAGGTAAATTCATATTTTAAAAATAGTATAGAATTACTAATCTTTTATCCTGTATTATTTTCAGTGTCTTCGAAGTCCTGGAGATAAAATAGTAGGGGAAAAAGATGATAATATTATTATACATTTATCTTAGCATTTTTCATATTAAAGTATTTTGAAATTCTGATTGTTCCATTTTACATTAAGGAAAAAGTCTTTAAATACATGAGTCACTTGAAAATTCAGATACTCTTAAAGTATTTTATCCATTTAAGTAAGATTTATGAAATTTACATTATTGTCAAATCTATTCTTGGTTTCCCTTTATCTCATTTCAAAATTTGTCTTTTTGTATTGTATGTATTTTCAAAGCTACCTCAAACCTTTTCTTAATGCCTTTTAAAAATTATCTCCCTTACACTGTCCTATTCCCTGGACTTTTTTTTTCCTTTTAATTGTTCTTTCCTGATTAAAAGTAAATTTAGTTTTTTAAAAATAGAAGTCACTTTAAAAATGATTATAACATATCTCATTTTTTTCAGTTTATTATTTCTGATTTTTAATTAGCAGGAAAGACTAGCTGAATGGATATAACACAAAGGAGATAAAATATTGAAATCCTAGTTTAGCTTCACTTGTATTCAGTAGAATTTGTCCATGCCATCAGCACCGTGGGTTGAATTTTTAATTGCTATTTCATTTCTGAAGGATAACATAGTCCTTCCTCTGGCTGTTGCCACAAAGTTGAATTGTGTATTTCAACAGAGCAAAAGTGAGATTGATCAGTTTTCTTATACTAAATATAGACTATGTGTGTGTGAAAGTTTTGCAATATTAATTAATGGATTAAAAATAACGTGCTTCTTAGGGGAACAATTTATTTTATTTTTGGTAGTAATGTGCCCTCATGTTTTGTTTTTTTTTGTTTTTTGTTTTTTGAGACAGTCTCACTTCATCACCCAGAGTGGAGTGCAGTGGCGCGATCTTGGCTCACTGCAACCTCTGCCTCCCGGGTTCAAGCGATTCTTCTGCCTCAGCCTCCCAAGTAGCTGGGACCACAGGCATGTGCCACCACACCCAGATAATTTTTGTATTTTAAGTGGAGATGGGGTTTTGCTATGTTGGCCAGGCTGGTCTCTAACTCCTGACCTGAGTTGATCCACCCACCTCGGCCTCCCAAAGTGCTGGGATTACAGGCATGAACAACTGCGCCCAGCCTCCCTCATGTTTTTATAGTGTATATTGATTTGCGTTTGTTGATTCTCAGTAAAGAAAATTATTGGAAGTTGGCATTTATGTGATTATAGATGAATTGCTTCTATATCATATGCTTTTATTATACTAAGGAAAGAGTTTATTTTAAAATTTTCTTCCGTGAATCTTGGTATATATAGAAGGAACATTTTTATTTTCTTAAAATTAATAAAATATTAATATATATCAATAGAACTTAACTGTTATGTATATCTTAAATTATTTGGTTACTTTAGAAAATATAATTGAGGTGTAGTATTGGTGATTTAAAAGAAATTCAGTTCAAAAAAGAGCATAGCAAGATGACCCATTTTGAAAGGAATTTCTTGTACTGTGTATACAATTAAAAGATGAAAATATTCATCTGTCTTTGTGCCATTTTATATAATGTGGGAATGTATGAAGAATTGTTTTTGTGATGTTCCTAAAATGTCTGTAGGTTTTATATCATCAGTTTGGACAAGATTCTAAAAAATTGAGTAAACATTTTGATGGTTTCTTTGTGGGTTCAGTATGAATGTATAGTTGCATGAATGTAAAAATATATTTACCTACATATTTTTAGGTAACAGAAATGATCATTGATATTAACTATATTTAGGTTTTCTGTGAGTGAAGTGGCTAGTGGGATATAGTAATTGATTATGTAGTGTTTTCACAAAATTTCTTTTAATCAGTCTCATTGTTATGTCTGCATACGTATTTTTCCTCAAGTCTGTGTCTATGTAAACAAACATGGAAACTTTGGCCCTCACCTGGATCCCAAGAGAATCCAGCAGCTGCCTGACCACTTTGGCCCAGGCCCCGTGAATGTGGTGCTTCGCCGGATTGTGCAGGCTTGTGTGGATTGTGCCCTTGAAACTAAAACTGTTTTTGGATACCTGAAGCCAGATAATCGTGGAGGAGAAGTGATAACTGGTATGCTTGTCTAATTCAGGCCCTCCCCTCCCCTCCCCTCCCTTCTTCTCCCCTCCCTTCCCTCCTCCCCTCCCTTCCCTCCTCCCCCCTCTCTTCCCCCGCCCCCTCCCCTTCCTCTTCTTCTTTCTTCCTCCTCCTTCTTTTTTTAGAACAGGGTCTCACTCTGTCACCCAGGCTGAAGTACAGTGGTGTGATCTCGGCTCACTGCAGCCTCCACCTCCCAGGTGCAAGCGATTCTCCCACCTTAACCTCCTGAGTAGCTGGGATTATAGGCATGTGTCACCATGCCTGGCTAACTTTTGTATTTTTAGTAGAGACAGGGTTTTGCCATGTTGCCCGGGCTGGTCTTGAACTCCTGGCCTCATGTGATCTGCCTACCTTGGCCTCCCAGAATGCTGGGATTACGAGTGTGACCCACTGCACTTAGCCTGTAATATTTATTATATTAGTATAATAGAATATTTAATTATACTATTATATTATACATATAAGGAGTTATATGTTTATAGACTTTAAGCCCTGGTTTGAAAAGTTTACTTTTAAAATGGACAAATGATGTCAGAATAATGTAAATTGGGACAAAAGTCACAGATTCTTCATTTTACATGCTGTGTTAAGCTCACTATAGGCAAAGTACCTTGGTTGATAATATGTTTTATCTATAAGAAGCTCTAAATAAAAATGCGACTCAAGAAGTCATTAAGCAAGAAGATGCAGTTGGTAGCTGTGATCAGACACCACAACATTCATACCCATGGAATATTTGGAATAGAAGGAAGTGTTACATAGATCAGTGAGTTTCTGTTGTTGTTGACTTAAGAATATTTTCAAATGAGGATGTTTTTACCAATACAGGCTATTGTGTTTGAATGAGAGGAGCTTTTATAATTTAAGATTATTCCTTTATGAATTACAAAAACCACAAATTAGACTTATAATACCTTTCCTAAAGTGATGATTTTTTTTTAAAATTACTGTTGTATTTCTCATCTCTCTGAGATTACTCTTGACATCCTTTTTTTCCCCAATAGCCTCCTTTGATGGGGAAACTCATTCCATCCAGCTCCCTCCAGTGAACAGTGCATCATTTGCTCTTCGCTTTCTTGAGAACTTCTGCCACAGTCTGCAATGTGATAACCTTTTGAGTAGCCAGCCTTTTAGTTCTTCCAGGGGTCATACTCACAGCTCTGCAGAGCATGATAAAAATCAGTCAGGTGAGAGAAAATGTAAACTCTTATACTTCTGTTTAACTTGAGAATCTTGTATAATTGTTTTTCCTTGTGTTCTCCTCAAAGTAAACATTTTAGCCACAGTGAGCTAATGAGAAATGTATAACATGTAGTTGTTTTTGTTCATTCAAAGTAGGAAAGTAATTTCTTGTATTCATAATGAACTTGAGAATCAAAGCCCATGGATTACTTACGTTTGGCTTCATTGTGACTACCTCACAGAGTTAAACATTCTCTGTTAGACTGAAGTATGGCTTTAAAGTTACTGACCTTTATAATCCTAAGAAGTTAGCAAAGCATGTTGAGCCCATTGGCTATAAAGATTTTGTTGCAGTCATCAAGGTTTGACAAATGATGATACGGTTTTGTTGTTGTTTTTTGAGACAGAGTCTCGCTCTGTCTCCCCAGGCTGAAGTGTAGTGGCGCAATCTCAGCTCACCGCAACCTCCGCCTCCCGGATTCAAGCGATCCTCCTGTCTTAGCCTCCTGAGTAGCTGGGATAACAGGCACCCACCACCATGCCCAGCTAATTTTTGTGTTTTTAGTAGAGACAGAGTTTTGCCATGTTGGCCAGGCTGGTCTTGAACGCCTGACCTTAAGTGATCCTCCCGCCTTGACCTCCCAAAGTGCTAGGATTTACAGGCGTGAGCCTCCACACCCAGCCTGTGATATGCTTGGATTTGACATTTGAACCATGGTTGCTTCTCTTCCATAAGAACCCCAAACTGATGCCTGAATAAGAGGGTAGGTATAAGATAGCCCTGTAGAACCAAAAGCATGTTTCTTGCTTCTGATCCGTAAAGCAAGAAAGCTCTTCCAGCTTTTATGCAAGTGCTCTTTGTTTTTTGGGAGTGGTTTGTCTCTTTTTCATGTGACTTATGAAAGCTAACTATGTTCTACCGATCATGGCAGGATTGTATGTGGGTCTTTCAAGAGTAGCTGAGGTTCTCAGGTGTTACTGCTGCATGATTTTCTGGCCAGGTGCTGCTGATTCTGGAAATACAGAGTACCATCAGACTATCTTTTTAAGTCCAGGGATTCTAATTCACGTGCCACTCAAGTGTGAAGTGTGGGTACCATGTCTCTAGCTACTACTTTTTTTTTTTCTGGTCCTCCTGGTTACCCACACCCTTCTTCATAAAGCTTGTCTCCTCTACTTCAGTGACACCTCTCATATCCATCCCCTTTTTTTCCATTTCCTTGTTACTACCCTGCTTCAGACGGTACTAACCCCTTCACTGGTTTAGTAAAGCAGGCTCCTAACTGGAATCCTCTTTCCAGTGTCTCCCCTCTGGTGTAGCTGTCCAGTGAGTCCCTTTGAAATAAAGGTATGATACTGTGACATGCTTGCAAAAGTATTCATGGAGAAGCAGTGGCATGGAGAGCACAGGTGTTGGAGTTTGTCAGACCTGAGTTCCAATCCTGGCCTTGTAATCTCTATGCTGGAAGAGTGTAAAGTCTGACCGGCCTACATTTTAATTCAGTTCCTGCTGTTAACTAGCTATGTGCCCATAGACAAAGTACTGAGCCTCTCTAGTTCTCAGTTTCCTTATCTGCAAAGTGGATACCTCTTTAGTTGTGAAATTGAAAGAAAGTATTTGTAAATTCTTAACCTGCATTATGCCTGGCATGAAGTAGGAGCAATAAAAGCTAGCTGTCAGAACTAGGGGGAAGAGGAAGAGTGAAGTTTCATGTTTTCATGTGATATTATCCTTTTTTTTTTCCTTCTTCGGGAGAGGTAGGAGGTCATCAAAAATGGTAGGAAATTTGGAAGATGGCTAGAAAGGGAAGGGCCACCTGTGTGGGAAGAGGGGTGTCTGTGTATTGATAGGTTTTCTGTTTCTAAGAGTAATTTGGGGAAAAATATGAGTTGGAGATGCTGAGAGTACAATTTCCTGATTTCTCACTCTGTTGCCCAGGTTAGAGTGCAAATGACACCATCTCGGATCGCTGCAACCTCCGCCTCCTGGGTTCAAGCAGTTCTCTTGCCTCAGCCTCCCAAATAGCTGGGATTGCAGGTGCCTGTCACCATGCCTGGCTAATTTTTGTATTTTTAGTAGAGGTGGAGTTTCACCTTGTTGACCAGGCTGGTCTCAAACTCCTGGCCTCAAGTGATGCTTCCACCTTGGCCTCCCAGAGTACTGGGATTACCGGCCTGAGCCACCTGCCAGGGCCAATTTCCTGATTTCTTATACAAAGCATTAAGAATGCCAGTAATTTACAAAACCCCATTCTTTGAAAGATTTTAAAGAAAATGTAATTCTTCTTTAAATTGAACACAGAATGTTTGAATTTTCAGATTAATCCAATAATAATAGGTAACTATTTGAAAAAATACACTGAATAATCCACATATTTTACATTATTTTAAGGGTTATTAATTTTCTCTCACAGAAAGCTTAATTTAGCCATTTGAAAGTGGCTTTGAGTTGGAACTCTTAGGTTTTTCTTAAGTCAGCTTGTAGTTAAAGAAGTTACATGTAAATGTTATGAGGTTGATTATTACTAAGATTTCATGTCTAGTATCCCATTTCTCTTACATTTTTTAAAATAAGGGACTTAAAAATAGTTTAAGATAGAGTGCTCTTCTTAGGAGACTTTGATTCTGACCAATCTTGTGTTTGCACATTTTAGCAGTAATTTTAGACATTTTACTGAAGTATAGTATACATAGAGAAAATTGTACATGGAATGTAGCTTGATTAATTTTCATGCCTGTATAACCAGTCCCTGGTTGGAAAAATAGCTATTACTAGTACCCTAGAAGCACTGCTAATGTGTCAAACCCCCTTTCATCCGCTACTGCCCCTCACTTCGCACATGGATACCTACTGCCCTGACTTCTAGTACCATGTGTTACTTTTGCCTGTTTTTGAACTTTATAGAAATGAAATTATACACCATTTACTCTTGTGCCTAGCTTTTTTTGCCCATCATTATGTTTGTAAGATTCATCTGTATTGTTGCATATAGTTAGATCATTCATTCTCATTGTTGTATAATATTCTGTTGTATAAATATGCTACCATGGTATGTATCCATTTGAGTGCTTTCTGTTTTGTGCCCTTATAAGTAGTGTTGTGTTTTGTACTCTTATAAGTAGTGTTATCATGAACATTCTATACACGTCTTTCTGTTCCTGTATCTATCTTGGAGGGAATTGCTAGGTCACAGGAAATGTGTAGATTAAGCTTTAGTAGATACTACCAAACAGTTTTTCAAAGTGGTTGCCTCAATTTACTTTCCTATCAGCTCTTTGCTTTTTAAAATAGATTATAATTCTCAGGTGAAATTTTTTATTTGATCTTTTCTGTCCATTTTTCCTGTTTTCTTGAATATATTCATCAAAATTGCATTATAGTCTTTGTCTACTGACACCAGTAGTTTTTCTCTCAATCGTTGGTTATATGGTCTGACTTCTTTGCATGTTTACCACTATTTTTTGGTATGTGGGACATTGTATATAAAAGATCTGCAGAAGCTCCAGATTTCTACCTTAAAAAGTGTCCTCTTTTTTAAGCAGAAAGAAGGAGGGCTCATTCCATTCAGTGATTGAACTGGGTTGGGGCTGAATAGCAGTTTTAATAAGACTCAGTCTATCTCCTGATTCCTCGCTATTCTTCAGGTGTTACTTTCCCAGGCTTTTGATTGAGAACCTGGGAATTCCCTAGCTCCTTAACCTTGAAAGACTATGGGGAATTGTACTTCCCTCCTTCAGGGGTTTGCTGCTCAGCTCTTCAGCCTTCTTCCTCATGTATTATCACAACTTCACACTTGTGTTTAGGTGGCTTGTGTGTTTGAGCTAGACCTCTTCACCCTGGTGGGTCTTTATTTCTTAAGCATCGTGAGACTGCGAGAGATTTCAGCGTGCCTTTTAAGAGTTTTTAGCCTAACTCCCCAGCTTCCTGTATAGCTCCAGAACTTGGCAGATGTCCCATGGGGGAAAACTAGCTATGAGTTTGAGTTTCTGATTTGTCACTCCAGCTGTGTGAAGCTGCTGAATCTTTTTTGATTTATTTTTGCCTAGTTATAGCCCTCTGCCTGTGTCAGGTTCTATTTTCAGTGTAGTGCCAAGAGTCAGCAAATTCCTACAGGGAAAAAATATGACGAGATCTTCAGTTTAGACTAGAATGGTTCTTCCCCCTCTGGAATTTGATTTTATTAGTTCCTATGACTGCTATACCTTGAGGATGCTTTTCTTATAATAACTTTATTGAGATATAATTCACATACCATAATTTCACCCTTTTAAAAGTACACAATTCAATATTTTTTAGTGTATTCACAGAGTTGTGCAGTCATCACCACTATCTTCATCACCCCCAAAAGAAATCCCATACCTGTTAACTATCATCCCTCAATGTCTTTTCTCCCTCACCACTGGAAACTATTTATTGACTTTCTGTCTTTATGGATTTTCCTATTCTAGACATTTCATGTTAATAGAATCATATAATATGCAGTCTTTGTGTGTGGCTTCTTTCACTTAGCATAGTGTGTTTTTTTGTTTGTTTTGTTTTGAGACGGAGTCTCGTTCTGTTGCCTAGGCTGGAATGCAGTGGTGTGATCTCGGCTCGCCGCAACCTCTGCCTCCTGGGTTCAAGGGTTCAAGTGATTTTCCTGCCTCAGCCTCCTGAGTAGCTGGGACTACAGGTGCCCACCACCACGCCCGGCTAATTTTTGTATTTTTAGTAGAGACGGGTTTCACTACATCATCCAGGCTGGTCTCGAATTCCTGACCTCAAGTGATCCACCCATCTTGGCCTCCCAAAATGCTGGGATTACAGGTGTGAGCCACCGTGCCCACCCTGTGTTTTCAAGGTTCACCCATGTGGTAGCATGTATCAGTGCTTCATTCCTTTTTATGGCTGAATAATATTCTATTGTATGGCTATATTGTATTTTGTTTATCCATTTATCAATTGATGCACTTCTGGATTGTTTCCACTTTTTGGCTATTAGGAATGCTGCTGCAATGAACATTTGTGTATAAGTTTTTGTGTGGATACATGTTCTCTCGGGTACAAACCTAGGTGTGGAATTGTTGGGTCATATGGTTAACTCTGTTTAACTTGATGAGGACCTGACAGACTTTTCCAAAGAGGCTATACCATTTTACATTTCCATCAGCAGTGAATGAGGTTTCAGTTCTCCTTGTAAACACTTGTTATTGTCCATCTTTTTTATTATACCCATTCTAGCAGGTGTGAAATGGTATCTCATTACGGTGTGATTTGCATTTTTCCAATAGTTGATGATGAGCATCTTTTCTTGTGCTTTTTGGCCATTTGTATATCTTCAGAGAAATGTCTGTTCGAATCCTTTGTCCACTTTTAATTGGTTTCATTTTTTATTGTTGAGTCATAAGAGTTCTTTGTATATTCTAGATACAAGTACTATATCAGGTATATGCTTTGCATATATTTTATCCCATTCTTTGGGGTTGTCTTTTAACTTCCTACTTTTTTTCTCTCTCTCTCTTTTTTTTTTTTTTTTTTTTGCGACGGAGTCCTGCTCTGTCACCCAGGCTGGAGTGCAGTGGCGTGATTTTGGCTCACTGCAACCTCTGCCTCCCAGTTTCAAGCAATCCTCCCACCTCAGCCTCCAGAGTGAGTGCTGGGACTACAGGTGTGTGCCCCACACTTGGCTAATTTTTGTATTTTTAGTAGAGATGAGGTGGCATGGTTTGACTGTGTCCCTACCCAAATCTCATCTTGAATTATAGTTCCCATAATCCCCCCATGTCATGGGAGGGACCCAGCAGGAGGTAATTGAATCATGGGGGCAGTTACCCTCATGCTGTTCTTGTAATAGTGAGTGAGTTCTCATGAGATCTGATGGTTTTAGAAGGGGCTTTCCCTGCTTTGCTCTGCACTTCTGCCTGCTGCCATGTAAGACGTGCCTTTGCCCCTCCTTTGCCTTCTGCCATGATTGTGAGTCCTCACCAGCCATGTGGAACTGTGAGTCCATTAAACCTCTTTTTCTTTATAAATTACCCAGTCTCGGGTATGTCTTTATTAGCAGCATGAGAACGGACTAATACACTGGCCTTTTTTTAGTTCTTTAGACATGGTTTTCATTTTTTAGTTCCTTGAATATATTTATAATAGCTGATTTAAAGTATTTGTCTAGGTCGGGTGCAGTGGCTCACGTCTGTAATCCCAGCACTTTGGGAGGCCAAGGCGGGACGATCTCTTGAGGCCAGGAGCTTAAGACCAGTCTGGCTAACATGGCGAAACCCTCTCTCTACTAAAGATAAAAAAATTAGCCAGGTGTGGTGGCATGTGCCTATAATCCCAGCTGCTTGGGAGGCTGAGGCACGAGAATCATTTGAACCTGGGAGGCAGAGGTTGCAGTGAGCTGAGATCATGCCATTGCACTCCAGCATGGGCAACAGATTGAGACCGTGTCCCAAAATAAAGTATTTGTCTAGTAAGTCCAATGTCTGGACTTCCTCAGGGACAATTTCTGTTAACTGATTTTTTTCCCTTTGTATGGACCATATTGTTTCTTCACATGTCTCATTTTTTTGTTGTTGTTGAAAACTGGACATTTAAAAATCATATAATATGGCAACTCTGGAAATCAGATTCCCTTCTCCCTAGGGTTTGTTGTTGTTGCTGGTGCCGTTTAGTGACTTTTCCTGGACTAATTCTGTAAAGTCTGTATTTCTTTGTTAAGAGTGGTCACTGAAGGCCGGGCGCGGTGGCTCAAGCCTGTAGTCCCAGCACTTTGGGAGGCCGAGACGGGCGGATCACGAGGTCAGGAGATCGAGACCATCCTGGCTAACATGGTGAAACCCCGTCTCTACTAAAAAAATACCAAAAACTAGCCGGGCGCGGTGGCAGGCGCCTGTAGTCCCAACTGCTCGGGAGGCTGAGGCAGGAGAATGGCGTAAACCCGGGAGGCGGAGCTTGCAGTGAGCTGAGATCCGGCCACTGCACTCCAGCCTGGGCGGTAGAGCGAGACTCCGTCTCAAAAAAAAAAAAAAAGGAGTGGTCACTGAAGTCTGCTTGTTTAGCTTAATGTGGTTAATGATTGGGTAGAAATTTCCTTAAATACCTGGAACCAGTGTATCTCCCAGCCTTGGCCAAGGGGTTTTCTGTGTGTGTTGGGACATAACGTCAGTGCTCCAAGAGGCAGCTTGTAAGTTGACTTTGTGCAGAGCCTCAAGGTCAGCCAGAGATGAAAGATTAGGGTGTTCTCATGTCTTTCCTGGGCATGCATATATACATCCGAGCACATGCATGTGAACTGTTTAGATTCCCAGGAATATGTCTGTGTTTTTCAAAGTCTCCTAGGGGGCATCTTATACCCAGTTTTTCCTTTTAAGCTTTTTGGCCAACCTATTGTTAGCCCTGACTGGTAATATGGTCTCAGGCAGCTGCAAAGTTAAACAGTTGCCACTATTTTCCCCCATCAGATGCCCTGGAGATGGGGTTGTTCACACAGAACAAGCTCTAATTTAGGTCAAATAAAGACAAACCCTGAAAGGGAGCTTTTCAGTGAGCTTCAAGACTGGTCTAAGTGATAGTTCTCTGGGCATGGGGCTTTTGGAGAGCTCCAAACCCATTATGTCCCCATCCAGTGACTATTGCATGGCTGTTTTTCATACCTGCCGTAGTTGTGAAGTGTTGGTTTTCAAGGCTACTGTGAAAATGGGGTGAGGGCGATTATATTAGGGCAAGTTAAAATGCCACAGAATTTGCTGTTTTTTTCTGAGATCCATTCATTTTTCTTAAACACTTTGGATTGTGGCAAGTCTTTAATTTCCAGAGGTTTGAAAAAGTTTTTATAGTTTTTGCCACTGTTTTCAATGTTTTTATGAAGGAGTAGATTTTTGGAGGTCTTTGATCAGTCATCCTGGAAGTGCTTCTCTGATGATTTAAAAAATACTTTGTAAATTACCTGGCTTTTCCTAGTTATCTCTGTAGGAACACTTTCCTCCCTTAGCCTTACTACAATACCCAGAAGCAGAAGTCGAGTCAATTTTATATTTGTTTCAGCCCCAGATAGTAGAGCATACCCAGCTTCGTAAACTTTTCATAAAGCATTAGTACATTACAAATAAATGATGAAGACATTTTCTAATCTTGCCAAGATTCTGAGGGAAATAAACATTTATAGAAAACTATATTTTAGAACTCGAATTTTCCATATTATTAAGTTGGTATGAAAAGCCAATTATTTCTTTCCTTAGAATTTAATGAATTAATTAATTGTAGACATTTGAGATATGTTTTGCCTGTTGGTTTTATAGTCCATTATTAAAAATAAAACTAAAGTGGTAAGAGCTCTACCGGACTCATTGGGATTCACTGAGTAACTAGATTGAGCTAAAGGTTACTCATCATAACATTTTGAGCAGCATGCGTGGCCCTCAGCCGAAATTTTGAACCAGATGAAGTTTGACTTTGATACTCATTGCAATCTTTCTTCTCTTTTGAGGTCTACTATCAGACTTTTAAGATTTTTCTTATACCTTATTTGTCCTTTTAGTTGGAGGTTAAATCAGGATATTTGTTGATACTTAGGGTATAATTGATAATTGAAGCTGTCTTTACTTTCAGGATCATGTTTTACAGAGTGGTCCTTTAGGTAGAAGTGCGTTTGGTTGAATGATAAGTAAGCAGTAGACTTGTTTTAAGGGTAGCTCTAAGCCAGGATTGTTACTTAACAAAATGGATGTTCATTATGCCATATCTTTTATTTAATTTCTCTGAAGTTTTAACTCCTCCGGCTCATGGGAGCAATTTTCCCAGGCCATTTTAGACACATTTTAATGGGTTGCCTCACTGCCTTGTGAGATATTTAGAGAGATCTGATAACCCCAGAATAAAGAAGCCTAGATATACTCCTTCTGGAAATGCTTTTAAGTCTTGAATATTATTTCAGTGAAAATATAAAATAGGATGAAATAGACACATGTTATTCAAGAACATCAAATAATTGAGAAGTTGTCAATGAAGGTATTGTAGGCAAATGATGTAGAAACAAGTGTTTCATGCTGATGATATGAAAATGCTTGAGTATATTAGTTCGTTATAACAGACAACTGTTTTTTCTTTGAGAACAGCAAAAGAAGATGTAACAGAAAGGCAAAGTACCAAACGATCTCCTCAGCAATCTGTACCATATGTTGTTCCTCTCTCTCCTAAGCTCCCCAAAACAAAGGAGTACGCATCTGAAGGTAAATAGCATTTACACCTCCCAGGATTGGGAAGAAATGTTTCTCTGCTACCACTTGTGTATACTCTTGGGGTGGTAGTATTGGAGGTAGAGAGGTAAATTTGCCTAAATAAGTTTGGCAGTTAGGCTACTACTTGGACAGCTTTGTTGAACACTTCATTCCCTTCAGAAGTGCATGGCTGTTATTTCTCCATAGAAAAAAAAAATTATAATAACCTAATAACCTTTTTCCTTCACTTTTGTATTGCTAAAAATTGGTAGAAAGAAGAATAGAAAAACCTGCTGCCTTTCTCCAGAGAATGTGTTAACTGCCCAAGTAGTAAACAAATGTTAGAAACCAACTGTATGATCATATTATAACAAATAGTAATAAAGAACTGCATTTCTAAAAACAAATGCTTTCGTGAGGTGTTTATAGTCTTGGTGGCAAGACTGGCAAATGATAGTAAGTTACTATGAAAAATATAGGTGATATGCAATCACTTTGGACTGTAGGACAATGTCCATTAATATAAATGCCAAGGAAGGCCAAGTCGGGTGGATCATCTGAGGTCAGGAGTTCGAGACCAGCCTGGCCAACATGATGAAACCCTGTCTCTACTAAAAACAAAAAAACAAAAAAAAAAAACCCAAAAGATTAGCCAGGCGTGGTGGCAGGCATCTGTACTCCCTGCTGCTTGGGAGGCTGAGGCAGGAGAATCGCTTGAACCCAGGAGGTGGAGGTTGCAGTGAACCAAGATTGCACCACTGCACCCCAGCCTGGGCAACAAGAGCAAAACTCTGTCTCAATCAATCAATCAGTGCATGCATCCATACCAAGGAGGGGATAGCCATGAACTTTGTGTTAGAGCATTGTGGTTCAGTATAGCACAAGTTAAGTGAACTTGCTAGGGATGAAATTTTTTTCCTTTTAGTAGTATTTGAATTGTAAGTCTATTGAAGATAGCCTCCTTTGTCTTTTTCCCTGTAGAAGAACCATTGTTTGCTGGGAGAAATGCCATTCCCAAAGAGGAAAATCTTTCAGAAGATTCTAAGAGCTCATCACTAAATTCAGGAAATTGTTTGAATCCTGCCTGTAGAAATCCTATGTATATTCAGACTTCAGTCTCCCAGGATTTTTCTCAAAGTGTGCCAGGCACCACAAGTTCACTACTAGTTGGGGACAAATCATCCCCCAAGAGCAGTCCCCATGAAGTTAAATTCCAAATGCAGAGGAAAAGTGAAGGTATGTTAAAAAATAGTGGCTCTCAGTGTGTTTGTCTTTTGCCTTGAGATTTTCATACCTAACAGCATCCCTTGAGAGTATCACATTGGAGAAAGTGCTAAAATTTGGGAGGCTGAGTCCTCCCTTTCACATCACTGTCAGGTCAGACCATTATGGATCCTCCAATCCTCTTGACAGCACAGAACTGTCTCTGGGGATCTGGATCACCAACCATGTCTCTGATAGAGACTTCTCAGATTAGTAGTGCTTGAGCAGTTGTAATTTATCATTTGCTTGGGTACTGTCTGGACTCACAAACCTCTCATGACTCTGAGGCCTGGAAAGACAGTCCCTCTCCTTTCTGTTGTACACTTTTCTTAGTCTCTCTTGAGACCTTTCCTGGCCTTAGCCTGTGTTGACTCCTGGATTCGGGCTGGCATCTTGTTACCACAGCCACACCATTTCCTCATTCTCCATATCCTTCCTCAGACCCACCAGGAAGACATGACGTGTATAAGTAGGGCAACATCCTGTTGCCATTTAGAAAGAGCCAAAACAGGTCGGGCACGGGGTGGCTAACGCCTGTAATCTTAGCACTTTGGGAGGCCAAGGCGGGCGGATCACCTGAAGTTGGGAGTTCGAGACCAGCCTGATCAACATGGAGAAACCCTGTTTCTACTAAAAATACAAAATTAGCCAGGCATGGTGGTGCATGCCTGTAATCCCAGCTACTCGGGAGCCTGAGGCTGAGGCAGGAGAATCGCTTGAACCCGGGAGGCAGAGGTTGCAGTGAGCCGAGATTGCGCCATTGCATTCCAGCCTAGGCAGCAAGAGCAAAACTCTGTCTCAAAAAAAAAAAAAAAAAGAAAGAAAGAGCCAAAACAGCCTTCAATGTGCAAAGAGGGCTAATACCCTGTACCTTTGAAGGATTAAGGGTGCAGGAGAGTGTCTTGTCCTTTTTCTCCAGGTAGGCACGTAGGCGAGGTTGAGGAGTGTAGGAAGTGGGAACCCTTGCCTTTGATCATGGGTGTTATCTATGGGCAGCCACACTGTGCACATCCCATGACACATTTAATGTTGTCAGCCCCATCCCTTCTGGAGATTTTCTCTGCTTTTAGAGTGACATGGTTTGCAGAGTCTAACAATAGATGCTTATTCCATAAGGGCGCTAGTATACCCTGCATTTTAAAGTATTTTCACAAAGTTTGACCTTTTGAAGATAGGCCTTCTCAGTATAAGATTACTTCTAATGCTGAGTATCTCACTTTGAAATGTATGTCAAACACTGTTGTGCTAAGGTAGCCAGTATTGGGGCTTCAGAAGGCTGGCTTCTGGTCTTCTTAGGAATGTAGAGACTAATAGTAATAACATTGCTTTCTAATAATTTACTTAGTGGTAATAGAAATAATCATCATCTTCATCACTATCTGACATATGCCAGGCATATAATATTTCATATGGCCTCCTACATTATACTGTTACAACAATTCTTTGAAATGTAGGTGCTGGCAAGCATTTTCAGGTGAGAAATTTGAAGTCATTTGGCTGAGGTCCCTCAGCTAAAAAGTGGCTGGGCCAGTCCTTGAACTCAAACACTCTGACTCCAGGGTTGTACTCTTAACTTCTGTACTACTTACATCTCCCAAGAACAGATAATTATTTCCATTAGAAACTGTTTACAGGTGCCATTACTATTATTTTTGAGGCATTTGAACTGTTACCTAGAGCTGATTCCACTCCTGACAGCCAGTGATGCTCACACAATTTCCTGTCCTGCCTTGTCCCATTATTCGAATGAAAAATATTGCTGATCTTTATTATAGGAAAGAAATCCAGTGATGTCAGGGGGAATCAGATCACTTTCATACTTTCATTATACTTATTCTAGAAATATTTATTGATATGCCAGTGTATATAAGACAGAGCCGTTCAGGAGAAAAGCATGACTGGACTTTGATTATTTTTCACATGATTAGTTTGTTTCATGTAATTATTTGAATAACAGTAATGTAATGCTTGCAAACGTCTCTGATTGTTTTGAAGGTGTAGGCCCAATTAAATTATATTTTCATAATAGACTAAAAATAGAAAATCTTATGGTTTTATTTTTAGTATAAAATTAATTTTATACCCCAAATCATATCTTTTTACATATAGTTTATCTGCAGTAAACTGTAAAACTAGTTACATGTTATTCAAAACATAAATGTACCAGATTATGACAGAAACCAGAAATTCCACAAAAATATAAGTTAAATTAGAGATATGATTAGCTTTGCCAATGATTTTTTTCATGTGACATTGTGTCTTTGTTGAGTTAAAGGAGATGGTGTTTCTGTCTAAATTGTCAGAATGCCTTAGGCATAGCGTGGTCTACAGCATCATCATTTTTACTTGGGTTGATACAGCCCAGCAGAATTTCTCTGTAGATATGGCCAACATTTTTTTCTCTGAGTGAAGGGAAGAATATATTTTGGTATAGAGTTTTTATTTCACATCATCGTTGTGATGTTGGAAAGAAATAAAATTCAGAGCTACACACAAAAAATTAACCACTATAAGTTCTTTTATTTTCTGTTTTTCTTTACCTTTCCCCTAGGTAAGTACTTAAAATGCTTCTAAAATGGCCATAGCCCAGAGGGTAGGAAAGAAAGGGTACTCCTTTGGCTAATTCACACACAAAAAACCATCTGATTTGTGTTGATGGTCCTTGGTTAGAGAAACAAATCTTCCTAGCTAAGTACAAAATTCACTTCAGTTATCACACACTAACTTTAGGGAGTTAAGGGCTCTGGTTGAGTAAATGAATACTTGTCAGGACACAGATTTCATCACAACTTAGTAAAGAGTGCAGCTAAGACCATTTGAGATATGAGCACTTAAATTGTTTCATGTCTCAGTTATGTATTTTTTTAATGTATAAACCTTCAACCAAAATATCTATTACTATGCAATTAAACATTATAAAGGAATTAAATGTTAAAGTTATTTCTGACCTAGCGTAGCAGAAAATAATCTTGTTTTCTTCAAAATTCAGATAAGCAGCCAGGCGCGGTGGCTCACGCCTGTAATCCCAGCACTTTGGGAGGCCGAGGCGGGCGGATCAAGAGGTCAGGAGATAGAGACCATCCTGGCTAACACAGTGAAACCCCGTCTCTACTAAAGAATACAAAAAATTAGCCGGGCATAGTGGCGAACGCCTATAGTCCCAGCTACTCGGGAGGCTGAGGCAGGAGAATGGTGTGAACCCAGGAGGCGGAGGTTGCAGTGAGCCGAGATTGTGCCACTGTACTCCAGCCTGGGTGACAGACCAAGACTCTGTCTCAAAAAAAAAAAAAAAAAAAAATTCAGATAGGCATTTAAGCCATGAGAGACAGGAAATCTAAAGAGTAAAGTGATGCTAAAAATATTCTTATTGGATACATCAGAGAGATTTGGTAAAAGGACTACTTTGTTTATCAAAAATAATGGGATTATTGAAATTATTTGATTAAAGTGAACACATTTAAGCAATTAGAAAACTAAATTTGGCTTGGCGTGGTAGCTCATGCCTGTAATTCCAGCAGTTTGGGGGCCTGAGGTGGGCAGATTGCTTGAGCCCAGGAGTTTGAGACTAGTCTGGGCAACATGGATGAATCCTGTCTGTACAAAAAATATAAAGATTAGCTGGGAGTGGTGGCATGTGTCTGTAGTCCCAGCTACTTGGGAGGCCAAGGTGGGAGGATCACTTGAGCCCAGGAGGTCAACACTGCAGTGAGCCATGATTGTGCCACTGCACTCCAGCCGTTATTGTGCCACTGCACTCCAGCCTGGGCAACAGAGCGAGACCCTGTCTCAAAAAAACCAAAACAGCAACAAAAATACAAAACAAACAAAAAAAAACAAAACCAGCTGTAAATTTGGGGAATTTCCATCGGATTTAGCTAGTAAAATAAACCTAATCTAGACAGATAGAGAGAGATTGAAATTCCTTGGAAGACTTAAGAGAGAAGTCATAGGTTAGATTAGATTAACCTAATTTTACCCAAGTAACAGGTCTTTTGCTGTGTTTGCTTGTGGCCAAAGAGGCCTTGGATTGCTTAGTCTGTTTTGTGATCTTTGAAGCTTTAAGGTAACTGCTGAACCTGCTTTTGTTGTTTGGGGGAGGTCAGATGGGATGCTCTTATGTAGCCATCCTCACATCATCTTTGTATAAGCTTTCACAGTTGGAGTCTTGAGACCTTGTTGGGGAACTTAACAGAAGGTTCCAGGAATGAGACCATTATTCCCTACCTAACATCTCTTCTTTCAGGATAATGATCAGGTCAAGTATGATTTGTCTTTTTTCCCCCCCATTGAAGCTCCAAGTTATATAGCTGTACCTGATCCCAGTGTCCTGAAACAAGGCTTCTCTAAGGACCCTTCAACCTGGTCTGTGGATGAAGTGATACAGTTTATGAAACATACAGATCCTCAGATATCAGGCCCCCTCGCCGACCTCTTCAGGCAACATGTAATGTATCTTTTGATCCGGTTTTCCTGCCGTAATGCCTTTGAATGACCTCTGTGCAGGCCCTTCATTTGGATGCTGTGTGGATGGTGGGGGAACCCTATCAACTGATTTTTCCATATGTGAGAAAGGTTATTTTTCCCAAGATATTAGTTCCTTAAATGGTAGATTAATGGTCTGTTCTTTAAGTGAGTATGCAGGTGCTTAAAATACAAACTGCTTCACCTTCTCAAGATACAATGATTCAGCATTGCAACTCTCAGGTGTACCTCCCCTTTGTAACGACAGATACAAGGATCCTCCCCGACCTGCTCCCAGCTCAGCGCCAGGACCATGAGTAGGAGGGGTTGACCACAGGCTATTACAGGGTGGCCTTCCTCCAGTGAATCCAGCAACTGTATAAGATTAAGTACATCCTTTTAAACAGGAACTCACAAATACCAAATAATATGCTTCCATAACATAAATTGGTTAAGGTAATAAAGAATTTTAGGAGGATGCCTTATGACTATTAAGTAATATTTTCAGTGTTTTCTAACAAATCAAATGAGTGATCTGTTATCTGAGGTACCCTTTTCACTATTACAAGAAAATCAGTAATTAGTTTTAGCATCTAACCAGCTTCAGACAACTAACTGATTAGCCTTCAACATAATGACAACACTGTATAGCACATTTACAGTTTGCATTGATATTGACATATTCCTGGCCCTTCTCAGAAAGTTATTGACCATCTGAAACTCATTTCTACCATTAATAGTTTTTGACCCTTTGTCATAGATATGTTTAGTATTTTATTTAACACACAGTATTTAAAGTCAGATTGTTTGATACTTGGGACATTTTTTGAAGATACAAGGTTAAATTTTCTTTTTCTTAAAATTTAAACTAAATTCATAAATTATCAAATGATGCTTCACTATATAAATTATATTTTTAATAGTTTTCAGGAAATAAAGCATATTCAGAGAATATATATCCGGAGTATACAGCTGCTCTATTTTACATGTTCTTATGTATAAATAACTTGATATGAAAGCATTATTAATGAGTATGATTTCCTTCTCTCTGTAGGAAATTGATGGGAAGGCTCTGTTCCTACTCAAGAGTGATGTGATGATGAAGTATATGGGGCTGAAGCTGGGGCCAGCATTAAAGCTGTGTTACTACATTGAAAAACTTAAAGAAGGAAAATACAATTGAAAAAAATATGCGTAAGTTTAGATTGGACATAATTCTCAGGTGTACTGTTAACATTTTAATTTAAAAGTATTTCTCAGCAGTTTTTGTTTTGTAGACAGTTCCTATAAAAGTGTTTTATCAGAATTGCAGAACTGTATTAACAGTTCAGTCAACTTTTTTTTTTTTTTTTTTCCCTGGAGTCACCAACCAGCCTCGGGAGGCACAGCCACCTCTCCCCCAGTCTACTTCTTTAAAAAGCATTTAACATGTTAGTATTGGCATTTTCAAATTGGCAGTTCTTTATGTCTTTTTAAATTTTCATTGTACAGTTTACAAATATACTTAATGTAGTTAACAGAGAAAAACCTTTGATTTTGGTTAATCTTTATATCTAGAACCAAAACAGCTAAATCCCAAAGGGGAAAATATCAGGGATTGACAACTTCTATAATTAAATCCATGAGAATTTTTCCTCACCAGAGAATTTAAAGGTGCACCTGTAGATATCATCTTTTCTCAGATGTTTTGTCTGATACTCTGTGGTGTTCTGTTCATGTTCTATCAGTATATCTAGAAAGGGAATAGCCATATAAATTATTTTCCTTTTATTATTTCTCTGTATGTTGTATTTGATCATATTTAAAGGAAAAAAGCAAGCTTATAAAGCTTATAAGCTTTCATAAAGTGTTCTTACCAGTTTTTGATAAATTTTTTAAATTATAGGATAGAATTGTCATTTTATGCAGGAGATATTTATACTACGAGGGTTGTTTGGATGGAGTAAGATTAAATTTTTTCAGTAAAATACCTATTATTTTAAAACTTTCCGTATTTTCACTAAGCTTGGACATTTAACTAGGCATTCTTTTCTTACATCTCTATATGAAGATACCAGTGTCCAAATTTTTTGAAGATATATATTATATGTGTTTATTCCTCATATGGTACTTTACCATATTTGTATATTGTTTTATACCTGTAGGTTTACACACAAGTAAATCTTCTTTTTTCTTGAATTTAATCTGGCACTTTGCACTGCCACAGAGGTAACGATGAACTGTGTATATAGTTAGATGTTTTGATTTCGTAAAAAATATATGTCCATCGTTTGCTATCACCAGTACCTCTCAGCTTACTCTTCAGGGGATATGAAACAATCTGTAGATTCGTTTCCATACAGGGAAGTTCTCTGTCCTATGCAATGTTTCTAATTAATTTGCTTAGTTCTGAGCCATTTATTCTGCTACACTTTGAGAGATATATTAGTTCAGACTTATTGTTTGGGGCTTTATTTTATTTTATTTTATTTTTTTTTTTGAGATGGAGTTTCACTCTTGTTGCCCAGGCTGGAGTGCAATAGCTCGATCTCGGCTCACTGCAACCTCTGCCTCCCTGGTTCAAGCAATTCTCCTGCCTCAGCGATTACAGGCATGCACCACCACGCCCAGCTAATTTTGTAGAGATGAGGTTTCTCCATGTTGGTCAGGCTGGTCTCGAACTGCTGACCTCAGGTGATCCGCCAACCTCGGGCTTGTAAAATGCTGGGATTACAGGCATGAGCCACCGTGCCCAGCCATGTTTGGGGCTTTATTTTATAAGTTAGAACTTTGAAGAGGAAATGGTGCTATATGTTTATTGTTATTACTTTGTGTAACTTTGATGTAATGTCTATAAGCTATGAGAATCAGTTATAAAAGTATTAGCCATTTGTTGTAAATGCCAATAAAATATTCACCAGGGGCAAGAATGTACATTTTCTTTTTAGAAAACCAAATGTACTTTAGACATGAATGCAACTATTTAAAGAATAGCTTCATTTATGTTATTCCTTATATGTCAAAAGATTCTCACTTAAACTTGGTCTTCTTTCAAGTTGTTTGTATGAAGATGCTGTACCCACTTGAACAGTCCTCAGGTGTTTACATAAATACTATGTTTTACAGTTTTCATATTTTAAAATATTAATAAAGTTAATCGAAACGATTCATTCAAAGCCTCAGGTGTGATTTTATTTACCGTTAACTGCATTACATTAAAGTGTATATTTGTTGGAACTGGAACAGAGCCAGTCTAGTAAGTTTGTGGCTTTCCGTGTCCAAATACTTGAGTTTTAAAACCTGCCCAGATTCTAATGCTAAACAGGATGCCTAAGAACCAAGGGCTGATTTCTTACAGGGGTCTTCAATGAGACCCCAGGGGGGCTGTAAGAAGTTCAGTCGATGAGCTGTATCTGTACTCAGAGCCTTTGTTATTTATGATATCATCAGTGATGCGAGAGTGCTAGAAAATGCCCATGCCCCGAGATATCTCATCCCATCTGAGCCTGTACACCTGGCTGGCAACTGTGGTTGCTCTTTTACCACTGGGGGCCAGAGGCCGCCTCCTGCATGCACCTGCTCTTGGCCCTCTGCCTTCAGATGGTCCAGCTGCCCCGGTGGGATGCCCTTGGAGGACTGGGGTTTTGCCTAGCCTCACTTATTTGGCCCCTACCCCGACCCCAGGAGCTGCGGCTCCAGCTGAGGAACCCAGAAATCCTCACTGCTCTTGCTCCCCAGCAGCGTGTCCTGTGATTCACTGGAGACAACAGGGCCCTGACTGAGGCTCCAGGGGTGATGCTCAGTGACTGGAACGGGGGTGTCAATTTGAGTGATCTGAGACTTGAGTAATTCGTGGCTCCTTTTTTTCTCCTATCTGGCTTGTAAACTTTTAGTCTGCAGACTATCATGCTATATTATCCTTCCTGTGAATTTTCCAGATATGAAATGATCTTCCTCTAGCTTTGCCTCTCATTCCATCCTTCGATGCTTTGTAACCTGCAGAATTCTGCATCTTGAGCTCTATGACCTTCCAGGAACACCTAACATTTGCTTTGGTCTTTCATCTGCTTGATTTCATATCGTTGAAATGTCTTACAGTACATGTTCTAGAGTGGGATTTCCCAAACTTTTAAACCAAGGCCTCCCTCTGCAGGCATAGAAACACCATGCCCTTCTGTAACATTCAAAAGTAAAAAGTAAATACTGTGAGTAGTGACAGTGTAATTGGGAGGAAAAGCACTGCTTTTTCAAGCTGCAGAAGGGATTGTCCTTGCAGTTGGCTGAATACATGAAGTAGGTTAAAATTTCTGGGGCTATAGCTTGATGCTGGGGCTTGCTCACAAAGTCCTCCGCAGCTGATCCAGGCAATGTGGGAGACCTTTAGGTTTGAGAGGACGTGCAAGTGATAGCCCGCTGTTGGAATGCATGGGGGATAGTTATTCCTCTTCTGGCTGTTTGCCCTATTTTGTCAGCAGGTTGATGCCACTAAACCTTAAGAGCGACGCTCTGTAGTTAGCACATGCTCAAATTGAGCTTGGTCACTCCCCCTGCTCTAATAGAGGCAACTCTCTTGTTATGGGATCACCTTTCTGGCTTTAGGGATACTATCAGCATTGAGGGGAGATCTTTAAGAAACAAGGGGCCTAGCTCCTCCCCTCGAGCTGCCTCAACATAACAGACAAACCAGTGTTCGTGAAAAGGAGAACGTCAGGGCACTTATGACAGAGCATATGAGTCAGTGCTAAGTGCCCATAAGTGACGTGTCCTTATGCATCAGTAATGGTGTGTCCTGTTCTCCTGCCATAGAACTGAAGCCCTTAAGCACATGCATTTGTGGAAATAATCCCTCAGGGACAACAGGGCGGCCAGGGCAGGGTTTTGGCCTTGTCAAGCCCTGTTCCTCCTTTGGCCTCACTCCTCCACCTGGCTTTGGCTGGCTTCGGAGGCTCAAGTCCACTGACGTCAGGGGTGGGGTGGGTGCACATATTCCACAGGGGCAGAAATCAATCCGTTGGGAGCAGGACACATATCTTACAACTTCCTTTTATATTCACGTAAGAGGAAAAAGATTAAGCTTTTCTGTAGTTAATATATGGATTCACCAATGTGTTCTAAAGTGCTGAATGTTGTTGGTACTTGCCACCATCCCAGCTTATCTTACAACTTCCTTTTATATTCACGTAAGAGGAAAAAGATTAAGCTTTTCTGTAGTTAATGTACGGATTCACTGATGTGTTCTAAAGTGCTGAACATTGTTGGTACTTGCCACCATCCCAGCCCTTCTTGGTTTCTCCCTGTCCTTAGAGGCATAAAGCCTGAACGTGACACTTGCCACACTCCTTTACCGGTAGACATGGATTCTTAGATTCTGCCCCAAGAGACCCTGTGCCCTGATTTGGGGAGGAGGGAGGTGAGGAGAAGCCGTTTCCTTCTGGTGGCTGCACAGGACAGGCTTTTGAGCATCAGCAGGAGGCAGATGTGGGGTTTGCCAGCAGCCTCTGGATATCATCTTGAGACTCGCCCACTTCAGTCGTGCAGGCAGCTGAGACACCTGGGGGCAGGGGAGCTTCCCTGTGACTCTTGCACTCCTGGATTTCTAGAAACTTCTTCCTTCACCTTAGCCCCTGCCTTCCAGGAGCCATGTAAGCTTCTGATTCTGTATTAAACTACTTCCATTCTGAAGATTCAGAATGGCTCATGTGTTCCTGGCCAGGCTTGGATTTGTCTACCTTCTTTAGCATATCTGTCCTGTAGAGGTGGCCTACTATTCAGAAAGAAGAGTAAAACTTCCATAGAAAGGGCCCTTTATATTACCTAGTTTAAATAAACTAGTATATTTCATCAAATCTAAGACCTCTTTGTAAGATGCACCACTGTTTACTAAATAGTAAAAGAAAATGCTACCTATTAAACTATCACCATTGATTATAAAATGCAAACTGATTTCATAGATGTTAATGTGAAAAGATGGGTGGTTTAAAACATAAAATGTTAGCTCTTAAAAGCGGAACAGGTGGTTTTATTTATTTTTTATTTATTATTATCTTTTGAGACAGAGTCTCTCTCTCTTGCCCAGGCTGGAGTGCAGTGGTGCGATCTCAGCTCACTGCAACCTCCGCCTCTTGGGTTCAAGTGATTCTCCTGCCTCGGCCTCCTGAGTAGCTAGGATTACAAGTGCAGACCACCACACCTGGCTAATTTTTGTACTTTTAGTGGAGATGGGGTTTCACCATGTTGGCGAGGCTGATCTCGAACTCCTGACCTCAGGTGATCCGCCCTCCTCGGCCTCCCAAAGTGCTGGGGTTACAGGCATGAGCCACTGCACCCGGCCTGAACAGGTGGTTTTAAAAAGTGAATGAAAAGAAGCTACATTAACTGAATTGAAGACTAATAATATAAGCCCAAAGGAATGGCAAGAAAATGGCAGAGCTCGTCTGAGCTTTGCAACAACCTAGTACAAATTAAAACAAAAGTGATCTAATCAGATCTGCCCCAAATTCACAATTACCAAGGAGACTTTGAAATGTGAAATTATATCCATTATCGTAAGCAAAAAGCCTTACCACAAGTGTGTATTTTGCCTTTAGGTATTAACTAGTACTAGGATGAAGCCATCATATTTAGCAAGGCATTTAACAATTTCCTTGCATCCAGCCAAGGAAAAAAAGGGGAACTTGGAATGATTGTAGATTAAGAGTCTTAAGAGTCATGTCACCCAAATGCAATGCACAGACCTCGTTTAGATGCTGATTAAAAGAAAACAACAGGAAAAATGCATACATGAGACAATCCAGGGAAAGGTGAATACCCAGTGGATATTAGATGATACTGAAGAGTTGCTATTCATTTCTAACAATGGTGCTAATTGGTATTATAATGGTATTTTGAAAAGATGATGCCCCTATCTCTTGGAAATAAGTATCTTATAAAAACTTTACATATTAAATGGGATGATATCTGGGATTGCTTTGACATAATTCAATGGGGAAGGAGATGCAGATGAAACAGGGTTGGCCTTATGTTGGTATTTGTTGTGGCCAGTGACACATACATGGGAATCCATTACACAAATCTCTCTACTGTCATGCATGTTTGAAATTTTCCATAATAAAAAGTTTATGCAGAATATGAAGACAAATTTCTCTATACTTTTCAGAGATGTCTGAAGTCAAGCAACATTCAATATACAGAGGGTTTCAGTAAATTAATGATCAATATTTAGACTTCTTGCTTGAGGTTTCTTAATATTAGCCAAAGACAGCCAAGCCACCTACGACTGAGAAGCACCTGTTCTTCCTATTATAGTTGAAAAGGAAACGAGGTTGAAGTAATAGATGAAAAACAAAACAGGGCAAAGGGTCAACTCATTCCTTTGTCAGTAAATAATTGGGAGGCATGTAGAAAACAGGAAGACTTGAAGACACAAATCCAGATAAATGGCAGGGTGGCAGGTCTGCCATTCTGTTGAATGAAATGACAGGTGTTTCTGAAACTCATCAGTGTATGGTGGAATCTGATCTGCTTTCCTGGAGGAAGCGATGGTCAGAAAGGGAAGACCCTCATCCCTTCACCCATGCTCTCCACACTCTACCCTCTCCAAAGGGGCCTCTGCCTCTAGGGTATTCTGGGGAATTCCTCCAAGTACAAGGGCTGGTGGTTTGAAAGTTGTTAGCACTCTCTCAGTTGATTATTCCAGTTATTACCTCTCTAATTGTGTTTGCTTTTCAGACAAAGGGATTCAGTTCCTTTTTCATTCTTTTTCCCCATATACTGTTCTCTTCCATACACCTGAAGAAGCCCCTCATGACTCACATTTGCCAATATACACCGTTCTCCATGTTGGGAAGTCTCTCTCCCAGAAGAGTCCACCTAGGTCAACATCACCGTAAACGACGTCACTATGAAGTCACTACCAGTGGGTTTCCAAAGACCATAAAATCCCTGGTTTTGGCCAGGCGCGGTGGCTCATTCCTGTAATCCCAGCACTTTGGGAGGCCAAGATGGACAGATCACTTGAGATCAGGAGTTCGAGAGCAGCCTGCCCAGCATGGTGAAACCTGGTCTGTACTAAAATACAAAAATTAACCAGGCGTGGTGGTGCACACCTCTAGTCCCAGCTACTTGGGAGGCTGAGGCAGGAGAATCACTTGAACCCGGCAGGCGGAGGTTG